GGCGCCACCTGGCGGCCGGAGGCGGGTCGGTCCCCCGGGGCCGGCGGTTCCTTCCCCGCCATCTGCAAGTTCCCCTTGGCGGGCGGGGCTCTGTCCGTGCCTCCCCGGGTTCGGGCAGCACGAACAGTCACGGCACGCCGGGCGGGGCCTCACGGGTGCTGAAAGGAGGGAAGGAAGAATCATCTCCCTTGAAGGCCCCTGACGAGTCTCCTCTCCAGCAGAGCTTTGCTTTGCTGGCACCGTCCCTACATCCCTGGGCGTCGTTTCTCCCTCCTCTGTCGCCTGTCCGGGCCTCCGGCTCCTGAAGCAGACGTCTGGCATCGGGGCTCTGCCTGAGCTCCCTGCTTAGCCAAGCGAAGGCCCTGGTACGTCTGCTTGCTCTGATGAGTGATTGGAGGGGCTACCCTGCCTCAGCTGGGTGAACAGAACATAACACAGAAACTTCTTCAGAGTGGGGATTCTGCTGCCCTAAAAGACAGGTTTCCTGTTTGGTGGTCTCTCTTTCACCAGGATGTTCGAGTAAATTCTTCTGATCAGGTGCACGAGAAGATGTTCAATCATCCACCCAGCCAGGGACACTCTTAGGTGACTGCAGTTGTGCAGACCCCACTGGGGTAGGTCCAGGGGCTTTGTAGCATTTTAACCATATTGAATGTGCAGTCCCAAACTCCCAGCGGAGCTTTTCCCTCCCCCCCCCCAAAAAAAAAAATCTATGGTTGATTATAGATTTCCATTTTCTTGTTATTCCTGTGAGTTTTACGTATGCCTTGCTGAAAGAAAACAGTCTTGCTTTCAGGATGATGTACTGCAATCGAGGCTGCAGCTGGCAGCCTGGACAACCAATTTAAGCCTTGTTTTATGCAGAGTTTAATCAATACAGTTGTTGGTGCATAAGATGAGTTTTCCATATAAGTATACCCTAAGAAGGGTGGCCACGTTTTCAAAAGGGAACAGAAAGTGTGATTTTTGCCCCTACATGAGGCAGAAATTCCAGCTCTTTGAACCCCAGTATCCCTCTGGTGCTTTCTGCCCTGCTTCTCCTATGTGTGGAGCGAAGGGATATCCAGCAAAAGCTGTTCAAAGTAAAACTGAACAAACATCATTTCACGAAGTGATGCTTGAGTTTGTAGTTAACCAGATACTGTGATTGCCAAGAATATAAATGGGTTATGAAATAATTAGGGAGATTCGTGGGAAGGTGTCTGCAGCAGGGTTTTGGTTTCTATGACTCTGGGATCCTGTTTGAGGATCAACATCGGGTTGGGAGAGATGGGAGCCACCTCACAAAGTGGGACAAACATATCTCTGATGGTAGGATGGCTGACCTGGTAAGGAAGTCTTTGAACAAGGAATGACAAGGAAAGGGCAGTTACCACCAGCGTCGGTGAGTGGCCAGACACTGAGCTCTTGTTCATTGGCCATCACTGAGTGCAGGATGATGGGAAAGATTGTTTATAGAGTGGGTACTTGGTTTTGGTTTAGATGACCACTGCACCCAGTCGAAGCAGATGTTGTGCTGGCAGGGGACCAGTTATACCATGTTCTCCCAGGTGTCCAAAATGTGCTGCTGGAAGAGGCAACTGTGGGCATGGCAGGGTGCAGCAGGCTAGGAACTGTTCCCCTTTGGAGGTGCCCCAGCTGTTGAAGCCCCACTCTGCAAAAGAAAGGCAGTGACGCTGGACCCTTCCTGAGGGCAGGAGGCCAGGGAGTAGGTCAGTTGTGAAAGGACATTGACGTCCCAAGGGGTTTCTTTCACGTTGAAAAGAAACAGCATGGGCACTCTGGGTGCACTACCCCACAACCACCGCTGTATAACTGGTTTTCTTGCCTTTCCCTACCCTGATTGCTCTTTCCCCTCAAGAAAGTAGGTGTCAAGGCCAGTCCTCTGCCAGCTCAGAGAGGAGAGAGGCCTCCTGTTCATACTAGATGACTATATCAATATCATTACTTTGTCCTAATCTACTTCTCTCTTACATATATAATTCTTTCTTTACCAGTTGTGTCTCAACCCATGTACTGCAATTACTCCATTTTCAATACCAAGCCCTGGAATATAGAAATACACCGAACCAGTTCAATCCTGATTTTAACACTGAAGCATTTTATAGTGTTGAGACAAGTGAGTCGGTTTTTCACATGGTAGCACATCGAGCCCTGGCAGCCCAGAGGCATCTAGCAGGAATGAGGCATGGCTCCGGGACTCTGTTCTGAGATGTCGCTGTCACCCCAAATGTAAGAGAAGTGCATCACACCAACAGCAGTGCCAATGCTGGTCCGACTCTCCTCCCATGCCTGGCACTGCTGCTCGCTCACAGGAGTTTACAAGGGAATTGGTCCACATGGGTACTGGGGTCAGTCAGTCCCTGTACAGGTGTGACTTGACAAAGGGGCGCTGGCACTGTTCCCTCTCTGTGGTCCTGCAGGATAAGACTGGGGGCCTTGGTACCTTGACCACTTTTCTTCTGGGTACCACTAGTCACACATGCTCAGTCCCCAAGGGCTGGGCTTGAAGGCGATGGGAGTCATTTGTCAGAGAAGGGCAATCAAGTGGGAAACCATGGCCCAAATTTCTTCTATACATGCAACTCTTCTGGCTCCTCCATTCCCTTCCCATTCACTTCTGCTGGGTTTTGCTTCTGTCTGACATTTCCCCTGTCAACTGCTGTGTTTTCTAATTGCCTCAGGGTTGGTTTGGTATGAGGGGTCCTGAACAAGTCCCACTGAGAGCTATCACCCTGCATGACTTTTTCATGGCAGTCTCTCTTTCTGGGGAAGTCAAACTTTTTTCCATGTGTTTTAATTACATGATCCTCACATTGCAATTTCAGCATATCACCTTCTCTGACAGATATGCCATCACCTTGATTTACACAAGTATGCTTCTCCTCACAGGAGGAATGTAATGGTCATATTTCAAAACCACCTACAGTGCAGTTGGCATAAAATCTTATCTGACAATTATATTTGAAAGTAGAAATATAAATTAAATCACTTTAGTATTTAGCACTTGACAAACACCAGATTATACAGCAAGCATTTTAATGTAAGGAGGTATGCAGGCTGCAGTATTTAAGTTTCTGGGCCTCACTGAGAGCTGTTTAATGGTTCCATAGAACACCTGAAAACTTGGTCCAAAGAAACCCCCGGAAAATATACATTTTTTAGTGTGGCCCTTCCCCATTTCTGTCAGGCCTCTGAAGGCACAAATAAGCCTTAATCGCCCTGCCCAGCCCCACAGCCATGGGCACAGGACCCTCATTTCGGCTCAGCCTGGGGGCATCAGTCCCTGCCCAGGCCATGCTGGGGCCAGGGAGCCCCCTCTGCGGTCATGGTCCCATCCCCAGGTGAGACACCCATCTCATGCTGAGCCCTGACAAATCTTTTGCCTTTTCCTACTAAGTGCACGTGCTCCTGTACAAATATTTAGCAAACACAGAACTGATACGAAATGGTATTGACACAGATATGTTATGATGGGCCCACAGAGAAGAGCACAAACTGTGAGTGGTGAGAATTCCCTGTGAGAATTCTCTATCTGTAGAGTTTGACCAAGGAAAAGCTTCAGTGTCAGCCCGCACCCAGCCCAGCCCTGGCTGGAAACAACCAAAGCAAAGACTTGGGTTCTTGGTTTTCTCTTGTTTGCACAGCAGCACAGTTCGCTCTCTGCTTCATGCCTTTGTTCCTCATAACTGTATTTGTGGGACTGAGAGAAGTCTAACACAAACGGAAAATGCTGTTTAAAGTGAGGAAATTCTTCAGTACTGCAAAACCAACAGGGACCAGCAATCAGCTGCTACGACAGTTTTGGTAAGCTTATCCTTTAGTTTTGTCTGGCGTTCAGTGACATTTAGTCAGAAACCTGGAGACAAAAGCAGCTGAATCTTCCAAAGGACTGTTTCAGAGAAAGGCACTTTCCCCTACATTTTTAGCACTCTTTTGCCTCCCAAGGCAGCGAGCTCTGCATCTTTGGGAGTCTGGAGGATTTTCCCTTTTAACGTTTGGGAAATTCTGTTAATTCTTTCTGTGGGATTTAGCAGCAAAGTCAAGAAGGAATGTTTCTTCTTTAGGTCAGTGTATACTGCAGGTACTGTAATCAATAAATAACTGTCTGAATAAAGTGCAGGAAGTTCTTGTGCATTTAAACAATTATCATGGCCAATACTGGGGGGAAATTCTCTCCTTGAAGCTGCAAGATGAATCTTAGCTTTGGTTGTTTGGGTTTTTTTTTTTGTCTTTATATACACTGAAGGCATGCAGGAAAAGCATGATGTGATATGAGGTTCAAAGTGAACCACATAGACCTGTCCCTTGTGACCTGGCTTTGGGTTCTTTCTTCAGCCACATAGACATGCCTGTCCACCGTGCCTTCAGAAAAGTACCTGTAGGACTGTGTTTCAGTAAGCTGCTTCTCATGCTTGTCACATCTCCTGAATCAGGTTAAAATTAAAGACTTGAAACTTAATTCCACATCTTCCTAGGTTTTTATGTTTGTGTCAATAAGAATAGCATTAACAGTGTTAACAAATGATTATTGCTAGAAAACAATGTATGGGGACTTCACATTCACAGGAATTCTAATACGCAGTAAGTAATTTTTATTTATCGTCCCTACATTACACCAGATGAAAAACAAATGTTTTCCAAGTTCTGTGATATATTTGCTACAGTTTTAAAGTGGTCCTGAAGCCTGGGTGATAATTTTTTTAAGGATTTTAGTTTTTCACTGCTGGCAATCAGTGGGAACTTTCTTTGGTTAGAAGAGATAATCGAAAAGCAAGTTTGCAAAACAACTGCACTAAAGTTGGTTTTCCAATAAAGTCATCCAATTTGTTAAACACTCTGCATAATGTTGTTTGTTATTTTTAGGGTTTTTTTTTAACATTATATCATAATGTTGGCATAAACTATCACCGCTGCCTATGAGCATTACAAGTTAAGCACACTGTGGTTATTACTGCAGGATAACCTAGTATCTCTCAGTCTGTGCTAATAGTCCAAAGTAATTACTGTCCTGGCTCAGACAGGAGTAAGCCAACTGCTTGACCTTGCAATTCTGCCTGTTACATTTTAACTTTGGTATGTTGTCTCATGCTCCTCTTCTGGAATTTATTTGTCCACTTCTGTCTCTCTGTCAGAGGTTGTGGACAACAGGAACACATTTCTTGAAGGTCATAGCAATAAAACAGAATCATCATGGGTCAGGAGCAGACCTCTAGTCCAACTTTCTGCTGTATCCTGACAGCAGCATATGAGTCAGCTATGCTTTTGCTTAGCCACATCTCAAAAATCTCCAAGGATAATAATTGCAAATCCTCTCTGGGTAACCAATTTTAGTGCTTCACTCTCTACCAGTGGAGAAATTAGTGGTGGATATTTCTCAGTCCACTCCTCAATCCTGGTGGAACAAGACCAATGAACAGAAGTTCCTGCTTGTCAGGGTAAGATTAGGCAACCTCCAAGTCCCTGAAAGGAATTGTAGGTTACAATTAGAAACTCAAGGAGTAGCACCAAAGCTGCTCTAGAAACAGTGGAGCAAAGGAGAGTAGAGTCACCAAGCAGCAAGCAATTGCATAGATTTTAAAACAGGATATGTATTTTTTGTTCCCCTGAACTAGATAGAGTAGCAAATTCCTGTTCTGAAACATAATAATAATAATAAAAAAGGCACAGTTATGAAACTAATTTCCTTCAGAATATACACATTGAAGTTAGAGCCAATCCCTTGAATATCAACTAAGAGCCTTGGTATTCAAGGCTAGATTTCAGTAGTTTACCTTGGTAGGCTATTTTTCATGCTATGGTGGAAGCTACCTGACCCATGAATGCCCAGCCTTATAAGGTCAGGTGTATTCTATTCTGCAGCTGTTGGATATAGAAGTACAGGAAATAATTTTGCTAGGTCTGTAACACCCACTTCAAATTTAAAAATGGGGCATTTGGATGCTTCCTAACTGTTTCTAGGTTGTTTACCTCAGCTTGGAGGCAAGCATGGGGATGGAAGGATAACAGCAAAACATGCAACTTTATTTTCGTAATGATTGTAATGCTATGAAGATTAGTCTTTATGGCTTGGAAATGTGCATTATTATTTTAAAAATAGTACTGCCACAAATTTTTATTACTTAAGTCACACATACAGTTTAGATTGTATTTCACTTAAGAATCAATTTTCAGAGACACTCTAAGAAAATACACAGGCAACATTACTCTAAACTTAGAAAACAAGAAATCCACTCTGCACGGTGCTACAGAAAAGTCCAGCTCTCTTGCAGTCTGGGGGCCTGTGCAGAGTTCGGACTCTGATGGTGAACATTGATGGGAATCTTTGTGGTGTTTGGTGCTTAGTTTAGTGGTGGATCCTCTGGCAGTCTGCATAATCTCTGGAGCACATTGCCCTGATATGTGACAGCCTATGCTGAGTTCCAGCAATATGAATCTACAGGGCATCTGCATGGGCTACTTCTTCATATATTCTTGGTGTTTCTGCTGTTACACATAATCCTTTTCACTGCGAAAAAAGTCTTCTTAGTAATGGTGGTGTTATAATGTGTATCTAAAGCACTTTGAAGGTGTCCCGAAGGAAAACACACAACATTTAGATATTTTCAGTTAAAGAAAAATATTTGCTACTTGATAAGTTGTGCAGTTTGTGCTGTGATGACAAACAAACAGTAATAATGTGTGGTACCATTCCCTTAAGAGCTGCTTTCTGCCTCTAGTTTCAGTTGGAGCCTGTGCCACAAAATTCTGCAGAAAAAGTCTTTCTCTCCAGATTTAACTAATATAACACCAAAATCTTTAGAAGCCATAATAGGCCTATTCACTACCAGGGCTTTTACTCATCGGAGTTAACAGAAGAATGAACAGAGTTTCTGTATTTTTTCCCTGAATTTTCCTAGCTGTGAGCTCCAAGTCTTGGCAATTGGCAGGTGCTGTAACTGAGCCTGGCCTCAAAGGTAAACTAAAGGGAAGCCTACTTGGAAATACAAAAGCGGTAGCTGCACTCAGTCCATTTGTTTGCATTGCTTTGGTCTCCACTCCATCAGATCAGTCTGAAAATGCTGTCTTTGGTTAAAAAGACATATTTAGCTTGTACCCACCCAAACCTTCACAAGAGTACAGTGCAGGCTGTGTTATGCTAAGGAAGGCTGTAGAGAAGAGAAGGGGCTGAGCTGCCACTCTTCGTATTGATACAGAGAAAAAGTTAGTTGTTTAGAGATTTATTTACTTATTTACTTATAGAGAACTTGCTTAGCAACCTATTTACTTATAGCAGGTTATAGTTGGGTTTTTTTAATATTGCTAAGGATCCTGCTTGCCCAGACAGCTCTGTGGAATTTTACCAAGGACTACTGTGTTCATCAAAACAAAGCAGTTCACTGTGAAAATCTACCAAGGATTACAATGTTCAGCAAAATATTATACTTTTGTCCTTGAGTAACAGGTGGCTCTAACTAGTTGGAATTTTGTTATGAGTAAAGAGATAGCCATATACGAATGGTAGAAGTTGTATTGGTTCTCTTAGTTAAGATAGAAAGTAAACCGTCTGAAAAACACTCTTGTTATTCAAGAAACTGGCCAAGAGAATCTGTGCATGCTCCAGAGAAAAAAACAAGGTGAGAAAGACTATGAGCCTTCCTCCCAAAGACCCCTGAAGATGACCACAAGGAGGCAATGCGCAGGTGCAAAGATGACATAAACTGTTGACATCAGCCTTTCTAACTAACCCAGCCTTACTCATGCATATGTATGTTTGTGTTATGTAATCCAGTGAATATGGATATCTGCACTCTATAAGTTTTTGGTAAAATGTATGGTGGGTGTGCAAGCTTTGTGGAGAGATCCTCTTGCATCCCCGCGCCAGAGTAAACATACCTGCTTTTTAACTCTATTCGAGCTGTACAGTCTTTTTTTTTTTTTTTTTCCCCACAAATCAGTATTAGTCTTAAGCCTATGGAACATGATCTTGGACGTGACTTTCATTAAGACACCTTGTCTAAGCTAGAGGAAATTTGATCATGTAACTTCTGTGGGTGATTATCAACATCCAACTTCATGTGATTCTGAAATCTTAAATCTGGCTTGAGGCCAGAATACACTGAATAAATACACTGCATGTGCTCAGAATGTTTCTTGTGTGGTAGGAGATGGACGAGAGCACATGGCTATTTTGTTGGGATTTTTTGCACTCTTCCCCAGTGTAGTCAAGAGATTTCATACACATTTCTAGAAATGCCACTATTCGTGTCAGTGTGGGTGGAACATGGCAAGCATCTACTCATCCACAAAGCACAAAGGAGAGAGAAAGAGCACCAAGATCCCTTCCTCATATTCTGTGCCCCCAAAGGGCAGCTTTGTGAGCTATGTGTAAGCCGTTTTACCAAGACCTGCCTGGCTTTATGCATTTGGGTTTATTTGATTAGGCAGCATGCAGTTGAGTCATGTGCATGTCAGAAGGCAGAAGAAACTACATCTAATGTACAGTTTATAATACAATTTGAGACGCCGTTACTGTGGTGATCATTGTAGTACATAGTGGCATGTTGTGTCTGTCTGACAGTAAAAGTTATTTAAACTAATTAACACAGTCTATCAAGCTGATCCAGCTGGGTCAAATGAGGGGAGTAGGAGAGATTTCAGCTGCTTGCTCATTTAGCATGAATACAGTTTAATGTCGAATGACAGAAACCGTCTATTTTTTTTCTCTTTTGACACAGGTATGGATCATCAGCTCAAATGAATGTTCATCTGAAAGGTCGTGACCTCCTTACTCTACAGAACTATACAGCAGATGAGCTAAAGTATTTGCTGTGGATGGCCTCAGATTTGAAACAAAGGATAAAACACAAAGGAGAGGTAAAATGCTTTAACTGTCATTTAGGTCACTCAAATGTTGAAATAAATATATCTCTGAAGAGTATTGGGAATGAGCCATTCAGCTTTCTCCTTCTAAACAACATCACCTGAGCTCTTAAATACTGTAAATGCTACAAATCAAAGACCCTTCCTGTAAAGTGTTCAGAGATGTTCTTTAAATATTTTTAAGAGGACGTTGCAAGTGAAAAGGTTAAACAGCTTTGCAAAGCTAACTCCCTGTTGTCAGCTAACCCCATCCATCGACATATGGTGTACATGCAGCACTAAATGCAGGAAATGGAAGCCACTTCCCTGCAGGGGATTAGATAGTATCAAAATTCTCCTTAATGATAGCCGAAATTGTGTGCCAAAATGCCGTTACTTTTTGTCTCCTGAATTACTCCTTTCCCTTTAAACTTTTCTACTGCTAATAAATTCCTTGAAGGGCAGGAGAATAAAGCTACAGTTTAAAAACCACCCCTGTAACTTTTCTAATGCTGAATTAAAATGTGAAAGAAGTATTTCACAGTGTTAAGTGTATAGTGACTATAAAATTGAAATGCCTTCAATTTTCACATTCCAGTATTTGCCTTTGATGCAAGGAAAATCTTTGGCCATGATTTTTGAGAAGAGAAGCACAAGAACAAGATTATCTGCAGAAACAGGTAGGTCTGAACAATGATACAGTTAGATTTTATATGAAATTGTAGACTCTGAGTATGCACTGAAAAACACTGCATAATTTTGTATCTAGAAATTTCTACTCAAGAGAAACCGAAAGTTTAAAAGCAAAAATAGGAAAAGAATGGTAGCTAATTGTGTTTCACCTTGCATATTAATGTCACAAGCACATCGTTTTGGTCACTGAAATTTTGCCAGATCATTCCAAAACATGATAGATCAGAAATAAAGCAACAGGCAGAAGTAAACATTTCTGGTGTAAGTTTCTAGTTGTACTGGCAAAATGCACATTTCCTAACATCTGTTTTAGTAAGCATCACAAATCTGTATAAGCTCTAATAAGTATTTTTCTGATGTATTGTGTATTACCATTGACACATTTCAGAATATGTGTTTAAGCTGGGAATCGTAGCAATTCCTTAATATAAATTAGGGGGGGAAAAATTAACATGATTACCTACAGGGGAAGATAACTTGATGGAGGCTCCAAGGTATCAGCCTAATAAGATCGGGTACTGGAATGCTATTCTTTTAGGATACAGTCCTGCAAACACTGAAACACATACATATCATTGTTTACATGGCAGTTGTTCTGAAGTCAATGGGACTGCTGAAATAAATCATTCATGTGCTTGCATGTTAGCAAGGAATAACTATGAATTGGTGATGCATCAAGGCAGGAGAAGCTTGCCCTTCTCACATTTAAGTTGACCCACCATCCCTTAGGCTGATTTCTCCCTAGCAAAGGGACAGGAAACTTGGGTATTCACATTTCTTTACAAGGTGTAAGGGAGAAGGTAAAAATAATGGAAAGAAGAAGCAGATACGTAAACTGCAAGCATTTCTGAACTTGCCTTTCTATCCTCTGGCACAGCCTGCTGATCCTTCTCTTTACATAGACTTGTTGCTTTCTGGTTTCTCCAGATAAGCAGGACTTACGAATGGATTTCTCTTGTGCATTCCCTGCCTGTGAAGATCACCCACTTTTAATTCTGGAGTTTTTAGTCCAGTTTCTAGTTGCCTGCCATACTGGTACATGGGCAGGTAATGACAGATTCTCTGAATCTGTTTATCCTTCATGCTTCTGTATTCTGAGGGAAGCACTATCTAGTCCTTGGCTTTTGAAGGCTTATGGAAGGAGAAAGCTCAAGAAAGTTCAAATGAATTAACTTAAGGATAGGAGTTGATGCACATAAATTCATCCAAGAGGGATTAAGCTCCAGTGAAATAAACCCAATTTATTTCTGAGTGAGAGCTTCCACAGGGGAGTTTAATGCAGTTTAACTTCTGTGCATTAACTTCACACCTTCAGTTAACTGGTCTCAAGTCCCCTAAATGTAAGACTTTGTTTCAAAGGCAGAGACAAGTTTTTCTGTCCATAGAAACTCTGAAAATTCCAGCTGTTTTTTAACATACATGACTTCTCCTTTGGAACTCCTAACTCAAAACAAATGTGGGGGTCGTGTTCTTTTTAGATAAATAAGCTAATTTAATACCAATTTTCTAATGTCCAGTGAAAGTGGACATTGAAGTGGATGGAAGTGTTTATTTATAAAATACCTGAGTCATCTCAAACAGCATTTCCCATGAGTTATGTTATAAACTGACTTCTTAAAATTGGCTGAGTCAGAGTTCCCAATTTCTTTATTATTTAGCAAGCGGCAACAAGCAAAACAGTGCTGGGTGGCCGGGGAGTCTCCTGCTCCAACAACAGACCGCACCCTCCAGGGCACTCTGTTTCAATCTTATACTACAAAGTATTACATAGTCATTATACACATATACATATTCATTATTTGAACCCGCCTACTCCTGCTTCATATGGTAATTAGCTTATCAGTCCTTTATGCTGCGCAGAAGTTGTTAAATCTATGGTCAGGGGTCTTCAAATTGTGGGGGGTGGTCTTCTGGGAGGAAGGCCGTAGGTCCTCCTCACAGCGTACGTTTCACCTTTCGCTTGGAATGTGATGATCCTCTGAGTTTGCAGAGTTCTTATCAGTCTAGGCCCAGTAATCTGCATAATGAGATTCATGGTCGTGAACATCCTCCTGTTTTATTCAATTATGCGCCTGCAATTCTCCACATCTGACATACAGATGCTTCCTCTCTTGTTGTTCCCCCCTCCCCTTTCCTGTCACCTTTTTTTTTTTTTTTACACCATCATGTTAGTGCAATTAAGCATTTGCTGTTAGTATTACACAATATGCAATAGTTCATATTACAGTTCACTGAATTTGATGAACAAACGGTTTACCACCTATCACAAGTTACACCTTCAATATCTTGATAGAAGTCACTTGTGGGACAAGGTTCTGGTGATTAGATTAATCTAAACAAACTCTGCAACTCTTAGGAACAACTAGATGAAGTCAATGGATTTCATTATAAAGGAGTAGATACTTGGAAAGCACTGATTACAAAATCTGCTCTGCGCAGTGTCAAGGAGATTGTTTCCATATATGAACACCATGGAAGTCTTTTCAGAAGGCCTGCTGTCCCTATGCCTATAAAAAACTCCATTACTGAAAAATAAACAAACAGAACCACAGAATGGTTGAGATTGGAAGGAACATCTGGAGGACATCTGGGCCAACACCCCTGCTCACAAAGAGCCACCTAGAGCCAATTACCCAGGACGGTGTCCAGAAGGCTTTTGAACAGCTACAAGGATGGAGACTCCACAACCTTCTGGGGCAACCTGTGTCAGTGCTGTCACCATTTCAGTAATAAAGTGTTTCCTGATGTTGAGAGGGAACCTCCCATTTTTCAGTTTGTGCCCATTGCACCACTAAAGAGCACTTGACTCCATCCTCTTTGCACTGTCTCTTCAGGTATTTAAATACATTAGTAAGATTTTCTCTGAGTTTTCTCTTCTCTAAGCAATGAGTCCCAGCTCTTAGCCTTTACTTATATGAAAGATGCTTTAGTCATCTTCATGGCCCTTTGTTAACATGGACATATTGACTCTCTCCAGTATGTCCATGTCTCTCTCATACTGAGGAGCCCAGAACTGGACACTCCAGGTATGGGCTCACCAGTGATGAATAAAGGAGAAGGATCATCACCTCCCTCCACTTGCTGACAATACAGTCTAGAGCAGCCCAAGATACCGTTTGCCACGTTTGCCTTTGCTGGCAAAAGGCACTTTGCTGGCTCATGTTAAAATTGGTGTCCACCAGGATCCCCAGGTCCTTTTCTACCAAGCTGCTTCCCAGCTGGGTGGTCCCCATCATGTACTGGTGTATGGGATTGTTCCTCATCAGGTGCAGGACTTTGTGCTTCTCCTTGCTGAACTTCATGAGGTTCCTGTCAGCCCATTTCTCCAGCCTGTCAAGGTCCCTCTGGATGGCAACACAACCCTCTGGTGTATCAGCCACTCCTCCCAGTTTTGTGTCATCAGCAAATGTGCTGAGAGCACACTCTCATCCCTGTCATCCAGATCATTAATGAAAATGTTAAACAGGACTGGATCTGATATTTACCCCTGGGTACACTGCTAGTCACTGGCCTCCAACTACACTTTGTGCTACTGATCACCACCCTCTGGGCCTGGCCAGTTCTCAAGCCACCTCACTGTCTGCTCATCCAGCCCGTACATCAACAGCTTGTCTATGAGGATCTTACAGGAGACAGTGTCAAGGGCTGTAATGAAATCCAGGTAGACAATACCCACTGCTATCCCCTCATCTACCAGGTCAGTCATTTCATCATAGAAGTTTATTAAATTGGTCAAGCATGACTTTCCCTCAGTGAAGCAATGCTGACTACTCCTGATTGTTTTCTTGTCCTTAATGTGCCTGGAAATGGTGTTGAGGATTAGCTGCTCTGTCACCTTTCTAGGAATCGAGGTGAGGTTGACTGGCCTGTAATTCCTGGGGTCCTTCTTCTTGCCCTTCTTGAAGAGATGGGTAACATTTGCTTTCCTCCAGCCTTTGAGCACTTCTCCCAGCTCCCAAGTTTATCAAAACATTAAATTATAATGCATTGTAAGAGAATGGTTGAAGATTGTGACTTTTCCAACATACTGTGCCACTAAACTGTTTTATTCTGATGACATTGCAACTGTACTGAATAGTGTACAACTCCTTGTGGTATAATTCATAGCCCCTTTACTCTCTTGAACAAATATAAGCTTGTTCTAATTTCTGAAACTCCTATTATTTTACCATTTCTAAGAGTAGTAGTGGTGTTGTGTGTTTAATGAAGAGCTACAAGTAACTTCCACAGGGTATTGGAGGAGTAAATCCAGTTTCGTGGAGCCTACTAGATTTATTGCTATCACTGGCCATTATATTGGAAAATGTGACATCTCTGCTATTATACTGGAAAATGTCATCTTTTTGTAATCAGAATCCCATACCCATTCTGCATAAAATCTTGTGTATCTTTTGAAAGCAAAAGTATTCCACGTGGTCATATATTACTTGTAAAATAAACATCCTCAGGCACAGCATAAAGGTGAATGCCCTGGTTTTGTTATAGCTCTGGTGTAAAATATTTTGATTGTCACTGTTGCTCTTAAAATATACAACTGCAGTTAGGTTTTAGTGAGCAAGTCATAAATAAACACAGACACTGAATGTAGACACTATGTCACAGGGTAGAAATGGAGAGGAAACAATACAGGCAGAAAAGCTCTGTATACCTTCTTTTGTTGTGCACTGCAATATACAAAGTCTTAACAGCTTCACAGAGGTTCACTGCCACTGGCTTGAGTGGAATTACTCCCAACTCACTCCTCTTACACAATGGGGTGAGAACACCATGATGTCCATGCCTGAAGACTACTATGTACAGTCACAGAAATAATTCCATCACTTCATATGTTCTAATGTAGTGGGGATGGTATTACATGGTAGGCATACGGGGTCTGTTTTTTGTTGGAATAGTTAGTATTATTTAGCTTGGCCACATTATGGAGGGGACAAGAGTAGTCTTTTAGCTTACTCTCCACTTAGAGGGGTAGCTTAAAAAACCTGCTTATCATATTATAATAACTGCTTATTATATTCCTGTAATTGCTGCCTAGAAGAGTTCTTTGTTATCGGTCTAAACTGAAAAATACTTTCTAGATTGTAAGTCCTGGCAGGTAATGAGGGAAACTAACAAATCCAAATCGACATGTCTTGAAATACAAAAAAGGATCCTTCCTTTGAGTTTGAGAAGATGGCTGTGTATGTCTCCTGGTGACAGCAGGGCAGCCCCACAGCTGCGTATCGAATTTGTGAACTAGAGGATTCATTTTGACCCACTAACTTACCCAGTGTATCAGGGACAGGCCGGAATGGAGATTTAGCCTATGTCTGTACAACCACCAACATTCATGTCCTACATGAAAGAGTTTGCATAAGTGGGCTCCGTAACGTAATGTGTCACAGCCTGAGGCGCAGAACTGTCCACTTTTGAAAACTAACAGTAATAAGGGCATGAGATAATCTATTCTGCCTCTGCTCTGTGAACATTTAATACAGTTTGTTGAAGATACCAATATTCATATAAACACTTAGCATGTGGCTTTGGATGTGACCAGCTTGTGACAACAAAGAGAATTAATCTTCCAGTTTAACACACCACCACAGCATGTGCTTATTTGTTGGATTGGTGCCTGCATATCTTCAAAAGTCATCATTTTTTCTTTCTACTAGTAGTCTGGATGAAAGAATCTGAACCAAATATTCTGTCTCTACAACTATATACCAAGTAGAGCACAGAGCTCATGTATTTCCAGATGGAAAGTTTTGGATGGAAATATGTTCCCAGGCCCTGCACAGATGGCCGGTTCACAAACAGAAAGCCCAACATATTAGGACTCTGCTATGTACACAGACTCCAGGTGGTAGCTCCAACTGGGCTGCCTGATGTCTTGTAATTCTGAATAAATGACCAGATTCCTCTTTTTTTTTACCTGGGCATCATTTATAGAAAACAGAACATGTCCAGGGACTGCGAAACATCTACTAAAGTCCATGCATTTAGAAGCCTAAAATGCAGAGCTGTTGTATTATGTGGAACTTGTGGGGATAAATCACTGACATAATTATATATGACTTTGAAAAAACCCACAAGAAGCTGGACAGGAAAAGTTATTACAAACAACGTTTCATCCTTGAGGTCTTGACTTGAAAACTTGCATTGAATAGGTAGGCTGTAGTGTCTAGGCAACAGTTGGCATACATGTTCCCATAAAAATATGGTGTTTGTGCCTGAGCTGCAGAGGGGAGGTGAAAGTATTTGAGGAAACCTAAACATTTTTTCCTGCCTTAATAGAAATATGCTTCTGAATAGCCAAGAAATGAGGGTAGAGCAATCAGCAAATGTATGGTGCTTTTCTAACAGCAAGAAGTAATAGTAGAATAAGTGATGCTTTATTCTTAAAAGCTTGCTGTGTCTGACTGTAATCTTGTTGAGTCAGATGATGTCATCATTCCCTTACTGATGACAAAGGGAAAGTCAAATCAGGCTCATTCAATAAAATGAGCAGAGATTTGCCCTTCATGTGGTGTCTGGAACATCATTATTTTTGATCTGACTTTTAAGAAAATTGAGTCAGTCAAAAGGCAATGATTTGCCAGTATTATTTTTAGCTATTGCATTTTAAAGTCTAGAGACTGGCTGAACTGACACAAAGTGGAAGACCTCACCTCAACCCTGCTACCCACATGGGATGGAAGTTAATAAGGGTTGCTTTGTGTTAGGGGCCCAGTTGTGGGACCCAGGCCTGCCGCCTAAACCTACTTGCTTGGTTTTATCTGTGGAAGGTTTCAGTGTTCACTCCTGGTTTAATCCTTTTTTTTGAAGAGTAGCTGTGGGATCAACTTTTTAAATCTTTTTCAGGCCTGTACAAACATCATGTTGAAGCTGCAGTCCTGGAGATGTCTGCAGTGCCATCTAATGGCTACAACCAGCCCAAGCAGTTTTTAACCTTTTTTTTTCTTCTCTTTTTTTTTCTTTTTATTTTTTTTAACAGCACGAAATTTGTTAGCATCTCCAAGAGATAACAGTTTAGTACAGAAGGAGGGTCTATGCTCTTCTGTGCTGTATGCAGCCTTTCTCTTCCTGCCAGTAAAAATAAGATGGGCTTCCTTCTAGATTTTTGTCACAGTAAAAGGCTCACTCCCCAAGAGTGCTGTCTTGACATGGTTGGTTTGTCCACACTGAAATCCTTTGGATATTTCCTTCATCATGGGTATTAGTGATAGGGCAAGGTCTCCCTGACACTTTCTTTACTAGAAGGGAGTTGTTCTTTTGCAGAAAATCTTCCCCAGTGCACAGAAAATGCCTTACAGGTCTGCCTACAGCCCAGTTCCAATCCTACACTTTGTGCATCCCCAGTTGTAGGACCCTGTGTCTCATGATAGGCTTATGTTAAACCATTTGTGACATTTCATAAAACAGTCCCCCTCAGGACCCATCCTCCCAATATGTGGCCATCATGGACTTTACATTTGAGATTCGGTGGAGGGGGGCTTTAGGCTTAAACCAGGCAAAGGCAGGGAGACTCTAGTGTTTTGCTCCCTGTCTGTGTCAGCTGGTTGCTTGTGGTAGCTTTCTAGTGATGGTGTAGCATAAATAAGGCAGGACATAACCTAAGAGTTTCCCTTAGCATGTAATTTGCCTTTATTCAAAATACTGTCCAGCCATCTTTTAAGTTCCCCAAAGTGGTTTATGTTCTTAAATGATGCTCAGGTCTTTCCATGGTTTCCTGTTTAGAAATGGATTTCATTCTTAAGACTTCATCCACCCAGTTCCTTGGCTTACCTTGTAAATTCCTAAGTATTGCAGAGTGGAGGGATGCTGGCAGTGCTTGAGATCTTTTCTCTCTGTCACATTATAATTTTTGAGGCACTTGATCATTTGTGACCAAGCTCTAGTTTGTTATAGTGTATGAGGAGACTTAGGGTTTTCTATCTGAGTGACTATAATTGAAGCTTCTTGCAAGGATGTGGAATTACACCTAGTGACTCAGGTGGCCCTTCTAGGATGTGAAGGTCCTTGAAGTAGAAATTCAGCATGATGAATGGATTACCTAGCTCTTAACAGGGAGCCACAGTAATGCTTTTGGCAATATGTAGCCTTACAGCTTGAATGACTGTTCCTATGAACACAGATCAGAACTTATGCCTAAGGATTTCAGCAAAGCATCACTTTTGAGTGGTTTTATTCCAAAATACATTTATTTGTGTCTTATGTGTCAGAATTTGTTTCAAACATTTGGATGCCCTGATAAGTTTTACTTTTATTGCTGTAAATATCTTTTACATGAAGAAGATTTTGAGTCATGGCTGTAAATATGAGATGCTGGTGTTTAATTTCTTTTTTAATTTGCCCTCACTGTAGGATTTGCTCTCCTTGGAGGACATCCTTCCTTCCTTACAACACAAGACATACATCTGGGCACTAATGAGAGTCTCACAGATACAGCAAGGTTGGTAAAATGTCACTTGATTGATCACCATGTATTTGGTACTTGATCAGGCTGAAACCTATCTTACAGAATTTTGGAAGCTAATATTTTCTTTTGGAAAATGTCAAAAGGCACTCCAAATTTCTTAAATATTTGCAGATCAGCTCACAGAATCTGTAGTTCAGTATACTATCATTCCATCCACTCTAGCTCTCCAAATCATCTCACAACAAGAAATATTTTTATCAAATTTGGAACATGGAGTGTTAATGAGAGTGACAGTCACACAAATGGAAACATTTTATGAACCTCGGTAGTATAGCTCCGCTGATGACAGCACATATATTCAAACAATACTAGAACCTTCTGGTTCTTCTGCTCCTCATGGAGCTAGAAGTACAACTGACTGGCAAATCAAAAAGCAAAGACTTTATTTAGCCTAGTTAGGCCAGCTGCTGATGGGCCTTAGCCTACCTGCAGTGACAGGGTCACACTGAAGGCCACTCTGATCTCCCTATTTCAGCATCACCAAACTTGACCAACAATTTGCATCCAGTTTCTGATTTCATGTGCCCTCACTCACTGCTGTACCCACTGCCAGGACTGCTGTGGAGGCTGGGCTATGGCATTGTTCTCTTAACGGCCCTCTTTGGAAGATCTTAATGCAGTCCCACATGCATGAAGGGATTGGTAGGTAACAGCCTACTCCCATTGCCATATCAGGGAAGAACTGATCTCAAAGATTTTTTCCAGTGGATTCCCTCTGATATTGCAGAAAGTAAGCAGAACATGAGGTTATCTTTTGCTGGTACTCTTGCTAATTTTCATAGCACTCCATGTATTAAAGACTCATCCAGTCTCAGTCTTGTGCTGCTTTCTAGGCAGCCTTTTTGCAGCCTGAGGTCAATTCAGTTAGGCTCAGCTGTTGGAAGGTTAGTAGTGTCCAAAAGGTCCTTTTTGTTCTGGTGAAAGATATGCAGTGACAAGCTCATCAGGCTCAATTGAAAATATGCAATAAGCCAGCTGAGGTTCCATTGCTTCTGCTGTATACTACCCTTTTCACAGTCAGTGGGAGAGATTGTTTGAGAACTATATTGCTGTTCTCTCTATGATGAAATCCAAGGAAAATGTAAGAAAAAGACCAAACATTTGGTCTTTTACAATTGGAAATTTTCCTTTCTTGCTTTTGACTACTGGAAGTGGAAGACATATGGGCGTTGATAATAGTCAAAATTTTAGTCTCTTGAGGCTTCAAAGTACTTTGTGTTCACTCCCCGTTAGAAACATAGCTCTGCCAGTATCAAAGTATGCTGCAATGGTAGTGTTCAGATGTTTCAACAGTGTGTCCTACTGCCTTGCTTTAGTACCTATGAGTTTAAAAGATTCAGAAGTCGTGTAAATGTGTGGGCCTACAGAGAGAACAGATTAGTCTGAGACTTAATATTCAAGTCTGAGGTACATTAGACCACTGTATCCAGTGGCCACTCTGTCCCGTTCAGCAGAGCTCACACACTGCCATGGGATTCAAATACATCCCCTCAAAAGAAATTCTTCAGACATCATGAGACATAACCCCAGTTTAAGAAGTACAGCTATAGCTTCATCAAAGTGTGCCATTTGAGTGCCTCAGAGCACATGCATCCCTGCTACAACTTTACTGGCATGAGAGATGGAGGATTTTTCAAGTTTTATCCCCCACACTGATGTAAAAAAGTACTATTCTCCAAGCATCTTGCCTTTTTTTTTTTTTTTTTTTTTTTTTTTGCATTCTCACTGGACCACTGTAAGGGGGAGGAAGAGAAGGTGCTGACAAAGGGCACAGTAGGAGGGAGATGGGTGGCTGGTGCTGAGACAGGGGCTGAAGAGACAGAACTTGATGTGGTGAGCAGGGGTACTGGCATGCCAAGCTGGAAAGACGAAGATCAGTTATTTACATCAGCTTAAAGGAACTGAAACTGAGAAGGGATGGGTCACACCAGAGCAGTGGGGAATGAATGAAAAAGTGCAGGGTGTCACATTTGGGAAGGAGTGACTTCAGCCTCCAAGACAAAATGATGTGGAAGGATTGCAGTGCCACCAAACGTGACAGGTGAAGACAAAGGAAGGATTAATTTACCAGGGCCAATATGAAATTGCACTGTGGCACTTGTGAATGGAGAGGGAAGGACAAATGGTGAGAGTCTTCAGAGCAGTATGTCAGGGTGCCATGTGGGCTGGTGGCTCTTTGGGGACTAGGCAGGCTCAGGTGCCAGGAAATCCTCTTGGGTCAGACAGGACAGGGTCTCGTCAGCCAGCACCCAGCCCCCTGCCCCCAGCCAGGGAGTAGGGCAGCTGGGAGGCAGCTGGAGGTAGCCACAGCCCAGGGAACTGGGCACCTCTGTGGGGTTGGGGTGGGCCAAGGACAGGCTGGACATCAGCCTGCAGGTGGGGCCCAGGTCAGGGTCAGCACAGGCATAGTTACAAAGCAGCAAGAGATGTGACTCCCAAGAGAAAGGACTTGGCCCTGATGGAGGCTCCTCACAGTGCTGTTTGGAAGCCTCCTCTCCCCCCTGACATCAGAGTGTGGAGGGGTAGCCCTCAGCTGCACTATTGCAAAGTTGGCTCTGAGCCCCAGAAGTCAAACATCCAGGAAGGGGAAGGATGCAGTCAGGGCCCTTAAGCAGCACTCCCCTGTAATAACCTCTCCAAGCACCATCCCACCAGATGTGCAGGACTGTCATCAGGAGGCTTTCTGACATTCAGACACCAAGCCTGAAGCAAACCCAGGTGTGGTCTGATACACAAATAGATGTGCTATGTATAGGCCAGTGCGGTGGTTTAAGCCCTGCCGGGACCGGAGACCACGTTGCCGTTGCCCCTCCCTCACCCTCAGCCGGTCAGGCTGGCAGTGAGGCACAAACCCCAGGTTAAAATAAGAAGAAATTTAATACAACAGTGTGATAAACAATCTGAACAACAGTAGCAATGATAACAACAATAAACAGTAATAACAGTAAGCAAGACAAAAGATACACAGAGAAATACCGCAATGGTTACAGACAGCTCGCTCGCGATGCTCCCCTCCACCAAAACCACAAAGGAAAAAGTTCCCATGCTCCCGTTCCTGGACCTGACATCAGTATGGTATGAATAACCCACCTGGAGATACCTTCCCCCTTCTCTGCTGGGGAAACTTAACCCTATCCTAGCTGAACCAGGACAGCCAGTTTTCATTTCTTCTTCCAAATGGGATAGTAAAGGGCCAATGAATCTTTGGCTCTTGGATGACTTTTGTTTGCACAAGCAAAAGGGAAGAAGTAAACTACAAGAAATAAGGCAAAAAGTGGAAGAAAACAAATCTTCCAGCCATTCTGGAGGAGTCCCCATTCTGTGGAGAAAGCTCCTACAATACCCACTTCCCATGCAAGCTTTTAGTCCACCTTTTCTCTGCCACTACTTGCTCTTCCAGGTCAAGCCCCTGTTTATGACCCTGACCTGGGGATTTTGCACCTCTGCTGAGTCACAGCACTTACCTGCTACAGTGGAGTGAGGACTTTCCCAGGTCCTTACAGAACCCCACAAGCTCTGCTTCACTCCTACTCTCATTAGTAGAATTATTACTAACTTTGCATAATCAAGGCTGAAGAGTTTACCCAAAAGAACAACCCAAGTGTTAATTCCTTGACATTTCTTGTAAATGAAGGATAACAAGCCAACATCTTTCAGTTAATGTAAGAACAAAAAATAATGCCTGTAGTAAACTCCGAGGGTATTTCAAATATTTACAGCCATGTGTCTAGGTCTCTGAAGGCCTTAGAAGTACTTGAGATTGAGACTTAAAGCAAAAGGGGCACAGATCTATAAAAGTCACAGTTTTTATTAGAATTGCTGCAGGTAAGAGTTGAAAACATTTCTGCTGTGAACATATTTTTAGTGACTTATTACCTGCTCATAATACAGTTCTTCCACGCTTCACAAGACATTTACATTTACTCTGACACAGGAGCAAAAAGTTACCATCCGTTAAGGAACTCTAAGCCTTTCAGTGCTGTTTAGCATGTCTAATATGTTATGTAAAATGAATCTTTCCACTGTAGAGCAGTTCCTTTGTGCACGACTATAGCTCAGTGGCCGTAAGGTTCAGTGACAGCACTGAAGAACTCATAGGATAATTTTACCAGTCCACTGGCATTATTAAGGGATGACTCTGCATCTATGGAGAATGGGTTTACTTCTCACCACTTACTGAGAACATATCCACCATATGCCCCAGTAAGACTATGAATGACAATGAAGTAGTCTTGTTAGAATTTAAACCTTTTGAATCAATACATACTTTCATAACAAAACTAAAACACTACCTTGGATAGCAATAGTCTACTCAAAATATATACAAATGTCCCATTTTCAAATTCAGAGATCAGCCACACCAAAAAGGCATACTTCTATTTTTGTTTAATTTTGAATTCCTTGGAGGATACACTTGAGTAAAAATTTCCAGCTTTTCTCTGTGGAAATAAAAGTTATTTTGAAAAGAGAGAGATGCAGCACTCAAATACACTCAAATATTTCCAAGCTCTCAGATTTTGAAGTTTGTAGGCTCACAATCTTGCAAAAAGAATGAAAAGAGAAAAACACCTTGTAGTTGGTGATAAATAGGAACCCTAAATTAAAAGTCCCCTGTGCTTACTCCTCCTCACCTTCCAAAACTTCACCTTTACTAAAGACTGTTATCTAGCCAGGTCTTTTACCTATGCAATCCCAGTCTTACATGGTTTCCTTTAAATTGATTTGATTACAGGAGACTTAATCTATTCAGATGAGGTCTATTTTTTTTTTTTTTCTGAGTTCGATTTGGTTTTGATTTCACAAGGAATAAACTCACTTTCCAGCAGTTTTCACTCATTGGTAACTGGTTATAGCTGAATTACCCCTAATGGCATATCCTGTAAAGGAACCATCTTTAAATTCTTTATCTGTCATATCAGGTAGGAATCAGCTGTCCTGACATCCTAAAAAATGTCTAAGAAAAATGGACAATTTCCCTGTGTGATTGCTTCTTTTCCTTGACTGGTAGGACCGGCTATGTCTTGTTTATGGTGGACACCTGTTAGATGGCTAACACAAGGGACCATGCATCCCATCCATGATAGCTAGTTCAGAACAGAACAGGTTTTCCAGTCACATGCTTCAAGCTACAATAAGTACATAGATAGAGAAAAAAAACCTTGTGAGTTAAGAAGAACTAATGGCACAAACAGCAACTATTCCAATGCTTTGCTATCAGTTGTTCAGTTCCTTCTTCGCACTAGTAGCTGCTACCAGCAGTCTTTTTTTCGGAGAGCACTCTACAGGGAATCTTGTAACATTTTATAAGTGTTTTGTCTGTGTGAGGAGTGTCTGTAGAAAATATTTGTTACTACCTTCATCAGGAGATTTGTCTGTGTAAAGGCCATGGCATTAACAGCCGTATTTTCACAAGAGAAGATACCAGAATTCTTCATGGCTAATCAGGAAGATAGATACTGCAAGGATTTTTCATACTCTTCTAATCAGTCTCTTCCTTGTTTTGCTTTAAGGTCCTATTAGAGATAACATGAAAACAGAAAATGCTACTTCAAATTTAGTCTTCAAGACCTGATTATAACACAGAAATGCAAAGAATGCTGAGCTCCATCCATATTTAATTTATCTAAATAATTCAGTGAATAATCAACTATTCTAATCTCTTAGTCTTTCACACCGTGGCAAGTGAGGTTATGGCACAGAGTGGTTCAGTGACTCCTGCATGCCCCTATCAGTATACTGAGTTTCAAATCCGGGCATTACTTTAATGCTGATACCATCTGTGCCAATACACAGGTGTGTAGGTAGGAGAAAGAACAGGGTGGAGTTGTTGGCCTCCTGTTTCTGTGTTGATTAAAATCAGTAAAGAATTGCGGTAAACTAAACCAGATCTGTATTCCTAATCCTCACAAAGATCAGGTTACCATGCAGAGACACTAATATTCAGTCAGTGATGCATTTTTCTTTTCTAAAAGATTCAAGAAATCTTAAATTTATCTCTTCTGAAGTTATCAAATTCTTCAAATATTACATTGTTGTGCAATCCCTTATCTTAGTTCAGATATGTTTACATTTGTGGATGTTACATCTGTAGCTACAATCAAATGCTAAAGAGAAAAAGCATAAAATACAGCAGCAGTTTTCATTTACTTACTATAGTTTGTTAATAAGTAAACCTGCTTATTTATTAGAAGCTTGGTAAATGTCTTTATTTAAGTGTGTTATTCAGGCACGATAAATTATTCAGGTAGCTGAAAAAATTTGATTCATTACTACTTCTCAATATTTATGTGTTGCATGCTGAAGAGTGCAACTGGGCTATATTTATTATGTTTGACTTGGGTATTTTCTGCTATCCTCTAGGGTGCTGTCCAGCATGACAAATGCAATCTTGGCTAGAGTTTATAAGCATAACGATCTGGACCTAATGACGAAAGAAGCCACAATCCCAATAATCAATGGGTTGTCTGATTTATACCATCCTCTCCAGATTTTAGCTGATTACCTAACTCTTCAGGTAACAATATAATCCCCATTTAATAACAACTTTTTTTGCAAAGTCTTGGTAAGTATTTGGGGAAGTAACATTCAAAATCATTTATTCCTACATTTTTCTAAGTGGTAATTATGTGGCACTTAGTTAAAAAGATCTTCATCCAACAATATAATTAAGGATCTGTTTAATTTAAAACAATTACGTAGTCCTATCAGCTGTACTGGGACTGAAGTTAAGCATAAAATTAAGTACTTCATTGGAATTAGGATGCAATTCAAAAATGTGAGGGTGCTTTACATATTAAGATGAGTGAGATGTTGGCTCAACCAAAGCCAGTGGAAGTTTTTCCACTGACTTTAAAAAAACTCAGTAGTTCACTTTTGATTCCTCCCTCACCTGTGAACAGTTTAAAAATAATCACTGTCCATATATTTGGAAATGGGTTGAACAAATCCATTTTGAAAAAACAGTTAATGCTAACAGTTCAAAGTCCTAGTCTTCAGGCTCTTAAAACTATTTAAACTTTGCTCACATAAAAGAATAGTTTAAAAAGATCATATTTTATAGTTTAATCTAATGAAATAGTCAATTTGACAGCAGGATAACGTTTTACACATAGAATCCCAGATGTTTATCTGTGAACAGAAGGACTATGCTGTTTTACAATCAGTTGAGGCTTAGAAAAAAGATCATTATACTGCAGTGCTGTTTGACAACTATGATAAACTCCTCTGACCTTGTTTACTTTTTGAATGAATAAAAATCACACTGCTTGAAAAAAGAGAGGGCAGAATAATGTCCTGAATCATTCGGCTGTGTTCCTCGGGTGTCAAAGACTTTGTTGTGGGACATTCAGTATGTGGAAAAGAACTAGTGAGAGTAATACTAAATTATTCATGCCTTAAAATTTAAATACTGAAAGACTTCTATGTTTAGTGAAAATTACTTTTTCCTTACCTTGATTAGTACTTTTCATAAACTTTGCAATACTTAAAGTGAAGAGACCAGCAAAAATCGGTGAACTTTAGACTAAAATGCTTTACATAACCTTAGTATAAGGTACTTTTGCGAGATCACATTGAGCCAGCCTCAGTGAACTGTTCAAATTATGTAAAACAGTAAGCTGTAATGAGAATGTCATCAATCATTAAATGTCATCATTTCATTTAAACACTCTGTGTAACTGTAAACCAGGTGAATCTTACGGTTGTGTTTTGTGGGGGGTTGTCTTGCAAACACCTTAGTTATTAGCATATTTATCACATGTGAATAACAGGCTTCAGGAATACTCTGTGACTCACAGTCTACATGACTATTGATATCTCTATGCCAAAACCTGGTTTTATCTGGGCCACTAACTATGGCACCAAAGTTCAGAGTGCTGTTGCCCTGCACTCCATCTCCATTCAATGAAGAGAGACCACCGAGCATCTCAATCACCCTCTAGAGATGCATTTCTTTCTCCACTGATTTTAGGGGGAAAGCTATGGAGATAAGCAGAAAGAATACATGCCCTATTGATCATCCTCTGCTCCTCCTCTTTTGTATCCTTCTGTAGGGCAGCCATAGTAGAAGCTCTAGGTGAACATGAGCCCACATGATGGATTTTTCCTTGGTTTGAATACCTAGGGCAGCAGCAACAGCAGGCAGGTGTCCTTGTTGCATCAAGCACTGGGGAGGACATCTCGGAAAGAGTGTCCCAGCATGTTTTACATGATGAGGAAACAAGACCGTAACAGTTGATGCTCAAACAAAAGAAACATTTGACATGGAGAGGTATGACAAACTGAGCACTTACAGAGATCTCAACGAATGTCTCAGCTTTTGGACAGACATAGAAGCTTTTTAAAATTTACAGCACTTTCCCAGTCAGCGTGATTGATAAGCAGAGCACTGTTTCCTCCAGCTGTGCCCATTGCTCCCCAAGCCTTTCCAGCATGTTCTTTAGCCCAGACCTTGCCAGAAGGTCTTTAGAGGGCAGCTGGGTGGCCACCCCACTTTGCCAAGGGCATGCTGCACCACTGGTTTCTGACCCACTTTCTATTCTTGCTTTCTTACCCAGGAGAAAGAGGCAGGCAAAGGGGAGCGCTCAGCACTGCACTGTGGGTGTTGGCACTGCCTGTTCTTTCCCTTTCTGACTTGACTGACTGCTGCTTTTTTTCATCTCTGCACTGTACACTGAGGTGGAGAAGACTGGTCTTACAGCCAGTAGCATGTAATAAAATGGCATTTTAGTCATATAATGAACTTCACCAGGTCACAGAAGTAGGATTAACACTTGAAGAAGTGTGAGCCACAGGGTCTAGTTGTTACTTACCACAATCAAACTTCTCATGGGATTTTCAGCAGGGTAAAAAGATGTTATCTGAGTACTGCCTGCCAGAAGATTAATACAGAGATGTTGAATAGTACCACTGATTTTTTAAATGAGTTGAAAGTTAATATATAACATTTGGACTGCTTTCTTGCAATGTAAAGGCCATTTATTTGATTTATACATACATGCAAACTACAATAGCAGCACAGACTGCTAGTCTTATATGTAAATGTAGCTACAGATTTTGTGCAGCTTATTTCTCTTTAAAAATGTCTCTTCCTTATATCTGTAAATATTTTTCTGCCTGGCGCTGCTCCTCCCTTGCTGTAAGTACATACCCCAAATGTACTTTTTTTTTCTGCCTCTTTTTTCTCCTGCTGCATTTGTCAGTGGAGCACTACACGCACTCTGGCCCTGTTCATGCTTAGAACATTTTTATTATTCCATTTTCTAAATCCTGTTAATTTTGTCATGTGCCTTCTTGAATTCTCTTCAAGTGCTTTCTCTTCAGTCTGAAACTGCCTGATTTCCTGGTTTGTTTTGTCAGAATGTCTTCTTGCTTAAGGCTTCTGATTTCCTTTTCACGGGTGCATTTTAGTGTGGTTATTTTAGTATAGTCTGTTGCATTCCGCAAACAGTGTGGCTGGTTTATTTTCAGGGCTGTCAGTTCTTGTTCTGTATTCAGGGTGTTCTTGTCAGGTCACAAAGTGTGCTCCTGTCAAGAATACTGGGGTGAGATTCTTCAGGTTCCTCTTGCCCAGTGCCTTCTTCCTGGGGAATCTGGAGCCTCTCATATGTCTGATGTCAAAGCTAGGTCTGTCCTTCAATACTGTAGTCAGGATTAATGCCCTCTATTATTCCAAGACAGATGTTTTTCTTAGCATGCATGCTCCCTCTTTCTTAAAAGTTGGTTTGCTCTTGAGATATAACCCACTAGAAATAGTTGTAAACATTATGCAACCAGACTTTGAGTGTATGGGGATTTAGCCTTTAAAGACTATTAAGTTTGTATTCTGGTACTGTGCACATGCAGAGCCACTTCTCTGTATGTGCTGAAGACATGTAACAGCCCCTTGCTGAGTCCACCCGGTGCCTCTCAGTCTCCTGGGTGGAAGCTGTGGCTCACAACTTCTGCTCTGCGAAGCTTGGCTGCAGGGCAGCATCACACAATTTGTATTCTAGGGACAAAGTGAGGTATTGACATTGATTCAATTGATATTAATGTCACTGGCCAAATCAGCTAACTTGTAGCTGACTGCAGGATGGCCAGACTGGTAATTAGAGTAGATCCATATGCCACTAGCCTTTTATGTCACTGGTCTGAAGGGAAATTTCTTTTTCAGAAATAAATTGTTGGCTTAAGAAATATACCAGTGATTCCTTTTCAAACAGTGTAACAAATTAGTGTTGCCCAGCTCGAAGAGGGCTGCCATATATTCTCAACTTCTCAGTGAGCCCAAAGAGCTCAAATTATTATAGTCTTTAAATTCATCATCATCATTATTCTAAGAATTAGATTCCCACCTAAGATCTGGACTGATCCTCTAGAATATACTGTTTTAATACAAAAACCAATGTGGGAGTAAGAAAGATATCTGGCCCAGCATCTGCCTTCAGCTCAGTTTGAGAGCCAAGAGATCCAAGTTTGCCCAGTTTCTCATCTACTGGATTGCTCTGTCTCCCAAATGGCTAAAAGCTTTGACTAGGGCCCTGCTTTCCATTTTAAATTTTGACAAGTTATTGATTCATTATTCAAAAGCTTGTTTTAATTGAGGGCTGTTATGACTGTTGTGGTCAAACATTTCAGAAGTAATCTATAATGGTGTCAGAGTTTCAGCCTAGCTGGAAGCAAGTCCAGGCAGAGGCAGACACGAAATGTCCCTAATTAGTTAAACCAGTCTTCTCTAAACATAAAACAGTGCAAAATCACTGAGCATACCTATTTTTCCCTGGGTTTGATACACTAATACACTGCAACTATGGATAAGAACAGAATGAAACATTCTAAAAGCAGTACAGGATGAGAAATTTGACTGTAAAATTGACATTAATTGTTTAGGTGGGATTTTTCATGAGAATAGAAAAGCCAAGTTTTGTGGTACTACAGCAGCAATCACTAGTTTGCCAAAGAGACGTTCTTAAGGGAGAAGGGCTCTAAGATTTCCAAATATGTTATTTTTTGTATGGCTTGACTAGGAGTATAAGTATTTTGAAGTCAGGTTCCAAATGTAAAGAGAAACTGCAGAACACCTAAGCAGGTAAAAAGCCTACATCAGTATAAGAGAGTCTGGAAAAATTGGAGAGGGATGTAAGGAGAAAAATATCTTCAGAGGCTCAGGTGATCAGCATGTATTGTAAAGGTTCTGGTTTAACCTAGAGTGTTACCATCATGGCAAAACACTTTTAGCAAGATTTTCATTGTGCAGTTGTATAAATATATACTATAAAACAGAGCGGGGTGGGGGGGCTGTCT